ATGTCGGGTAAGGTCGCCCAGTAGAGCGCGTGGATCACGAACGGGAGTAGGTGGAGAGGGTGTAGAAAGGGCCACGTGTGCGGCAGGTGCCGACCAAAGTGCGTGAAGAGGAGCAGCGCCACGGCGTGGTGCAGGGCCATGGTCGGGAATGTGTGGATGATGGTCGTGCTATGTATGGTTGATGTGGGGGTCAGTTTGACGGCGGTCTGGTGGGATCGTGCGTGGGTCGGGGGTGGAGAACACGGACAGCGTCAGTTCGGCTGCGTAGAGGATCGTGTGCGCGACGAGGTACGCCATAAACAGGCGGCGCGGCACAACGTGCACGCACCACGCTCCCGACCATGGTGGAGGTTCTGTGGATGGCGCCGTGGCGGCCGAGATCGTGCGCGGCGCGATCGACGGGCTGCGGGAGCGCGCAAAAGGTGTGCCCGGAAACGTGCCGGGGACCGTTGGTGGCGCGTCGTGCTCGCCATCCACGCATGTCGTGATTGAGAGCGGCGGTGCTGGTCGCGTCGTCTCAAAGATCGCGTTCTCGGGCACGCGCGACGGCACGGTCGGTCCGTGATTGCGGTCGAACAGGGATGCGAGTGCGCCGGATACGGCCGACGCCACGACCGACGACGCGCGCCGTCGTCGTGACGTAGCCGTGATCGTATCAGTCGCAGAGAACGTGGTCGTTGGGTTTGGCGTTGGGTTCGCAGGTTGGGTCGAGTTGACGGGCGGGAGAAGCGACGCACGGCGCGATCGGCGGCCCCACATAATCTCGTCATTCTGGCCCCTGTCATAGTGAGCGACTGACAGCGGAAGCGGGAACCGGCGCTGGATCGCTGGGACGCGCGCGACGAGGGCGATGGTGGTGCACGCGAGCGCGGCCCAGTTGAAGGCAATGTGCAGGTCGGTCGAGAACATGGCTTGCCGGACACATTGCGGCCAGCGGCGGTCAGTTGCGGCAATGACCGCCTCGAATAAATCGTAATCGACGTCGACGTGACGGATCCCAGCCTCGACGAGGACACGGGCGGGCGAAGGGCGGGCGAAGGGACGCGGACATGGCCAAGGCCCGTCACGTGACCGCGTCGTTGCGGTGGAGCGGTTTCCTTCTGCACCTGCCACATCGGCGACAGGCGCGGCCCGGCGAAGGCGGCTTCTTCCAGACTGCCTTCACCGCAGCACCTTGAGTCATCCGCGCGGCCGATGCCTGCCGGGGCCATGGGCCGGCGCGGACGTGTGCGCGATGGGCGGCGGGAGGTCTGCGAGAAGTCCACGAGCCACCACGACCGACGCGCCTCCTCCGCTCCGCTCCGCTCCGCTCGGCTCGCGAACGCACAGACCGCAACGCCCGACTCAGCGACTTCCAATATCTGCGCGCTGCCGTCTGCCGCGCGCCTTGATTCTGTTGCACCTCTTTTCCGCCGCCTTGCGGGTGATCCTCTCCACGCTGCGTCTCGTCACGCCCACCTCGCTTGCACCAGGTACGCGCTGATCGGCGGCAGTACTGCCATGCAAATAGCGCGCGCGGGATGAACGGCGGGGCATGCAGTGGAGCCTGCCCATCCGCGCCGCAGATCCTGATCCAGCCGCGGTTCACCGGGTCTTGCATCCACGTCGCAAACTGACTTGTCCGACACCCGACACGCGCCGTCATGCGCTTCGTGACGTTCATTATCGTTCTTCTAGCTGCTACCCGCCGCCGCCATCGCCACCCCCACGCTCGCACCGACACGCACGCTCCTTGCCGACGCGACCACGACGCCACGCGTCAATTTGCACCGGACCCGCGCGGGCCCTGCATGCGCCCGACCCCCGCGTACCCGTTCAGCATCCAGCACCACATCCCCGCGTGGCCATAATGAAGCGCGCATGCCTCATGTTCCGGTCGTGCATGGCCAACCCGAGCGCGATGCGGTCACCTGCGCTTCCCTCCGCACCGCTCTCCGTCGGCGCCTCGGACCCTGACGCGCAGGCTCGCCAGCGCAGCGCGCAGCTGACGGCGCTGCTCAACGACGACGCGCACTCCCGGCGAACCGACGTCAAGTGCCTCTTACTCGGCGCCGGCGAGTCGGGTAAGTCGACGTTTCTCAAGCAGATGCAGCTGATTCACGGCAAGGGCTACTCGGCCGCGGAACGGAATGCCTACCGCTCGGTCATTTTCGCCAATGTCATCCAGTCCATGTCAGTGATCCTACGTGCGTTACCGACGCTCGGAATCGACTTGGCCGACCCGCAGTCGTGTGCACGGGACGCACATTTGGTCGCGGCGCTCGCGAATGCGGGCACCGACGCACTGGGCAATAGCGACTGTCTCCCGCCGACGATTGCGCGCGCCGTGGCCAATCTGTGGCGAGATGCAGGCGTGCAGGCCGCGTTCCGGCGAGCGAGCGAGTACCAGCTGAACGATTCGGCTGAGTACTTTTTCGCGCACCTCGACCGGCTGGCGACGCCCGGTTACGTTCCTTCCGACCAGGATATATTGCGGTCGCGCGTCAAGACGACGGGGATTGCTGAGACCACGTTTCAGGTCAATGACGTGACGTATCGCATGTTTGATGTGGGTGGGCAAAAGTCGGAGCGGAAAAAGTGGATTCACTGCTTTGAGAATGTCACGGCGATTTTGTTCATGGTCGCCCTGTCCGAGTACGACCAGCGGTTGATTGAGGATGACATGACGGTACGTTCCGGAATGGGAGCGGATGGTGGAAGGATTTGGTGCGACGGTGGTTACTTACTCGTTGTGCTGCTTGCTGGCCATTAGAATCGGATGACCGAGGCGCTCAACCTCTTTGGCTCGATTTGCAACTCGCAGTGGTTTGTCAACACGGCCATTATCCTGTTCCTCAACAAGGTGCGCACCTTCTCCACCCATTTCCGCCCCACGTATCCCGGCCCACCGTCGCTCACTCCTCCACCTCCACCAGATCGACCTCTTCCGCGCCAAACTGCTCACCTCGCCGATCCAACACGCGTTCCCGGACTTTCGGTCCAACGCGACCACGCCCGACGCGCTCTTCCGTGACGGGTGCGCGTATTTCGTCACCAAATTCACCGACCTGAACCAGTCGCCGTCGAAAAAGATCTACGTGCATTTCACGTGCGCAACCGACACGGAACAGATCCGGTTCGTCATGGCGGCTGTGGCCGATATCGTGCTGCGCAGGAACTTGGCCGCGGCCGGTTTATTGTGACGCGGTGCGCGATGAGTCGCGGGACGCGAGCGGGTGCAGTCGCGGTCCGTAGTCTGTCTGGGCTCACGCGAGCGCACGCGCACGTCGCCGACCGTTGGTTTGGCAAATGCTTGCGCTGGCGCCGTGTCGCGACGCGTTGTTCAACTCGGCGAATCAGCACGTTGCTGCCGCGCCGATAGGGGCAACGGGGGAGAGCCGTGATGGAGCTGCGCGTTCTTGTCGCCCGCGTGGCACTGTCGGATGTGGCAGCCTGCCGTGTTTGGATCGGTTCTCGCTCGTTCGTTTGGGAGAGGGCTGGGCCCGAAAGTTTTTTTTGTTGTTGTCTTTGTGCTGCCCTTCCATCCTTTTTGTTTACAATCCATTTTGGCGGGGGAGGGGTGTGCTGGATCACGTCTTTACCCCCAAGATTTCCATTTGCGTGTTGCATTCTGGTCATTGTTGGGTGGACAATTGTACATTTAGTCTTCCAGAATAGCCACTCTTACAAAGCGCAATCCATGCACCACCGTGAATCAGAAAGTAAGCAGGCGACTTCTGGGGAAGGGCCAAAACAGCATAACCACAATCGCATATCTAACACCAAAATCCCAAACACCATGGCCTGCCACAGCGCTTACAACAGACTCTTTCGCTTGTTGGCAGACTCTTGCCTGCATTCGTGAAATGAACATGGGACCTCCTTTTGCAGGTAAACCAGGCCAATATGCGCCATCACACGAGTTGTCATTGGGCGTGTTGAGAATGGAACATGCACAGGCGGGATTTCGGGTTTGAGGTGCGCGCTCACAGGCGCGTTAACAGACCCAATGAGTTAGATTGGATGCAAATGAACAGCGTGGTGACAGCTGGTACAGAGACGCGTGGGTGCGCCTCAACACCAAAAATGGTTCCATGATCCATGTCAAAGTATGCATATGGTTTGAGCAAAAGACGATGTGCATCTGGGCTTGCCCTTGCGCCGCTCGTCTATCTTATATGTACTGCAGTGGAGACTCAGTTAGGAGATACCTACTAAAAGGAGACTGCAACAATGGTGCGAACCACAACTGCCACGCCTGGCCCACTCAACAATCCTGATCCAGATGAGGGGCTAGTCCAAAACCATCAAGTTTTGCCTCATGGCGCTCTCATGGCGGCTTTTAAGAGCTGACGCTAAGAAATTCTTGGCCATTTTGTAGGCTTCTTGCATGGTCATTGGCTCTGATGCCAAGGTGTCTAGCAGTCATGAAGCTGTGGAGGCCAAGCACATCAGGCATGCCATGGTCGTGGATTGGCTCCTCACATTTCATGCCTCCATGCATCTGCACATTCATGCCTCACACTCTATGCTTTACCCTTACTGGAGCGCTCAACTCAGGAACCCTTGCAACACCCATTGCACATTGATAGCAGTCGGAAATCAAACAAGAACATGCAGCGTGCATCGATTTATGTTTCTCGAAAGTTGCCCGCCCAACATTGGCCCCAAATGCAACAAGTTGGGCGTGACTGAAGCCCACCAGTCTTGAGTCTAGGATTGTTCATGCTCTTTCGCATTTCCTTTTCAGCACGACCATTGCGAAGTTTGTCACGGCAAAGGGGCTTCAAAATCGAGCACACTTTCGCCTTTGTTGAGGAGACGAAGCATCACAGGCTCCCTGCCAATTGTCAATGTAATATTGGAGCCTGCATGGTAAACGTCGCAAAATGGCCCAGACGCACGGAAATGAAGAGCAACACAAAGACAATAGAGCAAGAAGAGGTCATATCACACACAGTGACCAACAAACGCTGTTTGACCCAAACAAATCGCCAACCGGTCAAGCAAAACGAAAATTTTGCCGCAGCCGAGGATTGAACTCGAGGCCTTCGCTTTACAAGAGCGACGCTCTGCCACTGAGCTACAACGGCTTGAATGGGAGTTTTCAATCATAGAATAACAAAATTAGGCGCAAAGTCAAACAATGCTCATGATGATAATTCTACTCTCATCCATTTTCTGTGACTGCTGAACGACCAATCGAACCCGAATGAATTTCTACTGAAGTTTGTTGGGACCAAAATGTACAAGCACGCTCCCCTCTCGTCTGCGCCCGCCGCTCGCGCCGTCTTACATGACCTTGTCGTACTGGATGCCGTCGTGCGATCCGCCGCGCAGCGTGCGCGCGACAATCTGGGCAAAGGTCTGGCGGTTGGCGCGGAGCGAGGCGGCAGCAGCTAGATATTCCAGTTCGAGCCCATCGCGTCAGTCGCAATCCACCTCATTCGCGTCGCGTAGCGTCGTCCAAGATCGCCACCAACGTACCCTTGTTGAGCGGATCGTCGGCATTCGGTTCCAAGAACAGGTACTGCAACCCGACCAAGACGGCGTTCAAGTTGAGCACGGGCTTCCAGTCCTCGCGCAAGATGTTCAAGCAAATCTTGCCGTCCACGTCAATGTTCGGGTGGTAGATCTTGTGCGTGCAGAGCACCTTGGGCGGGTCGTGAGGGTAGTTGGCGTTGATGTCGAACGTGAACGTGAACGACGCGCCCGTGTAAAAGCCTTCATCGGGTGTGATGGTAACGGTAAAGTGCAGCAGGTCGTTGGGGTCCGGGTGGTGCATCGACATGGTTTTGGGCAGGTCGAGCTCGTCGAGGTCTAGTGGAGCATGTTGTCAGCGCGGCGGACATGACCGTGATGCGCACTCGCCGGGAAAGGATAGAAGGGGAACGCACCCTTTTGCACGCGGATCTGCGCGGCGGAGACGGCCGATTTCTTCTTGTCGGCGTTTTCGTGTTTTTGCTTTCGCAGCGAGCTGATCTTGATCATGGTGGGCGGGTCGGGGGTCGGAGGTCGGTCGAAGGTCGGGCTTGCGTGCGTGTCGCGTCGGGCCGGGTCGGTGTGGTGGTTTGCGCGATCGGGCGGGTCGACAGCGCGGGAAGCGGGTCGCAGCGGCGGTTGAGCGGTTTGGCGAGCGGTTGCAGCGAGTCTTGGTCCACGACGAGAGCGGGTGCGGGCGGGAAGAGCGTCGCAAGACACGGTCGGTTTGATGCGGAGAACTGTGTCACTCGCGCGTGCAAGCGGGGGGCGCGTGCAGCATGCCATCCCCGTCGGCTCTGCACGTGGCTGATGAAGGGTCGAGGGAGGGTCACGCCGCACATTGTTGGACCGACCGCTGCCCCGCACGCGACCATCGCCGGCCCAGCGCGCAACGGCGCGGCACGCGACCGAACCGAAAGAGACGCGCCACTGCCACCGCACGCACAACCCACGCGCACAGCGCGCCCCGCCGTCAACAGTCAACAGCGCCAGCGTCCCCCACGCCGCCGCCGTCGCGCTCGCGCCCCCCCACGCCCACGACTTGGCGCAGTGCGCCGCCCGCCACGCCGGCCGACTCCTCCCCCGCGCGCGCACGCCGCGGCGCCGGTCGCGCGCCGGTCCCTTTCAGACGGGCCCAAGTGCCGCTTGCCGGCCCCACGCTCCGTCACCCCATTGCTTGCCGCCGCGCTTCCATTGCCTGCGCGTCCGCGTCCGCGTCCGTGGGCCGCACGCCGTCTTTCGCGAGAGTGCATGGCCTCGTCCGCCGCCGTCGGCTTCGGCAGTAGCAGCGGCAGTCTGCCAGTCATCAGCCGCGGCGGTGCCGGCCCGGGTCTCGACGCCGGCGTGCTGCACCATGCCAACTCGCCGCGCCTGCTGCCCACGAACATCTCCAACACCAGCACCGACAAGCTCCCGGCCGTCCTCGACGCGCTGCCGCACCTGCGCGTCGACGCGCCCAACCGCAAGCTCACGGCCTCGCCGCCAACGCACTCGCCCTCGCCGCGCTTCCCGGCTCTTGCGCTCGGCGTCTCGTCCGATCTCAACGCGACCACTCCGCGATCCCCGTCACGTCACCGCACCGCCTCCATCGCGTCGACCTCGCGCCAAGCACAGAACCCAGCGACTGCCAACGCCCCCCCGCAGCTCTGGTCGCCGCGGCTGCTGAATGCCGCCGTGACCGATATGGGCCACCCGGACGACGTGCCCGTCGGTCCCTCGGCTTCAACAGCACCGGGCCATACGCGCCGCCGGTCCCTGCGCATCGTCCCGACCACTCCGACCGCATCCGCACGATCGCACTCGCGCGCGCCGCACCCACGCACACGTACGCCCTCGGCATGGCGCCGCGCATCCGCGTCCTCGACGTCGACCACCACATCCACGGCCTCCTCGTCGTCATCGCATGCCGCGGGCACTGCCGCCGCCGCCCGCGCGGGCGCCGCGGCCGCGTCCACGCTCACCGCCGCGATCCGCGCCAACCGCATGCTCGCGGCCGACGACGACGATGGCGCGCCCTTTTCGCACCACGCGGCACTCGCCTCGATTTCCGCGCGCCAGCCGCTCCCGTTCATCTCGCTCGTCCCGCCCGCCGCCATCAACTCGGACGCGTTTGTGCCACCGCCGCCGTCACGCACCGTACGTCGCCGCGACCCGTCCCGACGGGGGTCGACGCACGCGTCCCGTCCGCCACCAACAGCACGGGCGCGGTCAGTACGGCGGACACCGACCGTGGGATCGTCGACGGCGGTGACGGCTGCGGCGGCAGCCCCGTGGCCTGCGGCCGCATTGTGGCGGCACTTGGTCGTGCAGGCACGGCGCGCACAGGCGGACGTCCCGCAGTGGGTGGATGCGGTCTTGGTCCAGCCGTCGCGCGCGGCGTTGCAGCGTGTCGCCGAGTTGGCCACGGGCCAGGTCGCGACGGCCGCGCAAAGGATCTTGGACCAGGATGAACGGGTGCCGGGGTTGATTGCTTCGATTCGGTACGTTTCGTTCATTTCGAGAGATGGGGAGAACGGGAGATCCTGACCGGAACGACGGGTTGATATGTGTGTAGTCGCGAAGTCCGCGCGCGCCGCGAGGCACGGTCCTCCGCATTCCGCCGCCGCGGCGACTCGGTCGCTCCCACGAT